TTTGCAGATATTTGCTGAATCACTCCAAATCATTTTGTGCTGCCACCGTGAGCCCTGGGATTCCCACCATCACAGTGGGAGCTCCCAGTACCTGATCTGTGTCTGCAGTCTGTCCTCTGAAAGGTCAGAGGTGTCACATGTCCTCTGTCCACGTGTGTGTGTGTCATCTGCCTCACCTGTGGAACAGCAGCTATATGACACGTTTGGTTTATTTTGTTCAATAGCATTGAGAAAAAACATTTAAATATAGAGAATTCTTGTATTTACACCATTTCTATTTGTTATTTTCAAGCAGGATTCAGCATTAGTATTTTATTAACAATAAACCTGAAAATGAAAACTGAGAGCCTTTATTCACCACACTGCCCTACAATGCATTACATCTTTACAAAGACAACACATTAAGATTAAAGAAAGACTCATTATTAATAAAGTTAATCTGTGAAAATTCTAGAAATATTTAATTTGTTTGGAATTAATCAATCGGATAAATTAATTTGTATCCGATTGGCTGTTTTCGATACTTCTTTTAGGTAAAATAATTGAATTACATAAGTGACTGAATTTTTAAGAGTGGGCCTTTTTTCAAGTGTTGTCAATTATCGTTAAAAAAATGAAAATGACAAACAAAAGAGAACTTTTTGAAAGCTGACTTCTAGCCTTCTCAGTGTAAAAGCAGAGGATCCGTTACATTGATGGTGGTGGTGAGTGGGGTCATAAGTGACTCAAATATGACAAATCCACTTCCAGTTATTCCCCTTTTCATTTGCTGTCTTTAACTAAATAATTGTGTCTCCCTCCCTCTTTAAACCAATGTTATTTATGGGGAAAGAATAAAACACACCATCATTGTTACTTCCTCTTTTGTTTCAATTGAAGAGTCCGATGGCTGAACATAGATTATAACCCAAAAAGAATCACTGTCTGCTGTAAATCCAAGCTTTTTAAATAAAGAATTCTCCTGCTCACCCTCTCATACAAATGATGCGTTTAATACCAATGTGATTTATAATCCACTCTGATTGGCTCATGGTCATTTTATGAAACACAGAAGACGACATGTTCTGTAGAATTTGGTTTCTCTGATATCAATGAATTCTTGCAGGCGGTGCAGTTTATCTGTTGTGCTAAAATAATACTTTTTTTTCTTCATTTTCTTTCTTCCAGCAGGTGGAAGGGATCTCCTCCTTGTACGATGTGGACTAGGAACAGTTCACTGAGTGGAGCTTCTGTAAAAGTTCACTCAGATTATTCTATTCACACATGGGAAGAAAGTATTTCACAAAAGGTATTGGATCATATAAACTGTGGATGATGAAATATTGCACCATAAAAATGCTGCCGTCTGAACATTCTAACATCATTTCTGGTTATTGAAATAAAAAGCTTCCTGTATTCCACTGATACAAAACATTTTTGTATCACATGATAAACGCCATGATATCCTTAAAGATTTGAGTTGATATATATTCCTTCTGAATATGTGAGGTTACCTTCAGTGGGCCAGGCTGTAGCAGCACATCATTACTGGTAGTTCTCTGTCTGTTACCAGTATGACGTGTGCTGCTCCTGTCAGACTCGCACTCCTCCACCACCATCTTTGATAAGCAAATGTGTTCCAAGCTTTCTGACTGCCAAGGCACAC